AACACCAAGCGAACATGCACAACTACTTTCGAATGTATGGTGGAAAATAAACTTCGTTGCTCATCAGTTGGTAATATTTAGGATATTAGATCAATATATAAGGATAATTCTTTCGAAAATATTGCTTAATAGCTATACAGAAGTATGAACTTTTAAAAACAAACCAAAATTTGAACTGAACATGTAGTAAATGAAGGCGATAAAATGTTGTTACAAAAGAGTCACTTACCCAAAACCGTATAAAAATTTCTTCAGTGAATACCTACGTTCCTTCACATTCCCAAGAAAAGAAGCAAGAATTTGTGTTATGAAATTTTTTAGTTAGCATAATAGAAATTGCTACGCCAATATTATTTCACAGTTCTTTACTTGAGCAATTCGCAAAAAACAATTTACGGAAGAAACATTTTTACCAAAAAGTCATCGCTCCACAAATATATTAACCAATTGCGGGTTCAAATATTTTTTGGCAGGTCCCGAATCGAACGCATCGACTACGAGGAAGAGTCTATGAATCCACTGCTATTGTTGAAAGTATACTAAATTCAATTTTGTTTGTGGAATGCTCGGATTAAATCCTATTTTGAAGGTGAATATAAGGTTATGTGCTAAAAAGTTGCAAATGTTTGGGAAAAAGAAATTCTCAGCGAAGTTTTTATATGGAAGTAAATAATTGTTTACACCGAATGTACACGATTGACAACGGGATTATATCAAGTTGAGAACTATGGGGTTTCTTGTCAACAGAATATTTTTTATAGTGTTATTAGCAGTTTGAAACATTTTTGGAATATGTATTTAGAAAAATTAGAATTTAATTTTTATGCTTAATTTCTATATAATTTTTTAGCAGATTTGAAAATTTTCGAACTTATATTATTTCAGTACCTCTTTGGAAACGCCCAATTGTTATTGTGATATTGACTCGTTATCTCGAAATTTATTTTGAAGAAGCAGTAAGTATGCCACAGCTAGAAAAATTATTAAAATTTGTTACGAAATTGTGGAAGGGAGTAAAAATAGATTACAGTACTGTATAATTTCGCCAACTATTAGCGTCATTATTTTGCAAATACAAGGTTGATCCCTAACCTCGGTTGTTGAAAACTTTCATATTATAAATCAAACAAAATAGCTTAAATTCCTGCTAATAAAACTGAAATCGATAAAGTAAATAACAAAAGCGAAAATTTGCCGTTAATGAGTATTTATATGCACTATAACTATTTTATAGTAAAACTTATAGTTTTACATTAAATTACACATGTATTTAGTTGCGAAGTTTTGCTCCTACTCAAGTTTTGTCTGTATTTATATTTATTACTTTGTCTTTATGTTTAATTGGTTCAAGTTCGAGTTGTGCCAGTTGGTGTCCGAATCAAGCATGACGCGCTGTAATTGCAATAATCATTGATGGTATTGCTGGGACTAACCGTGAAAGCGCCGGCACGGATTTGTAATGCTGTGTGTGCTATGTTTTACAGTTTGCAGTTTTGGAGATTTTAGAGCCAGTTTTATTGCATTCAACGCCTCTCCAGTACTTACTGTTGTTGTTGTTGTTGATAGTTATAACATTATTTGTGTGTGTTGCTGTAAGTTGTTGTTATTTTTTTGTCTTACCCGTTAAATTTTGTGTACACACACACACTATTATTTTTTTATTAATTATAATTAAATATAATTGTTTTAGAGTATATTTTGC